CCCGCCATCAAGGACGGTGGTGGAGAATCTTTTCCGTCTGTGCAGAACTCCGGAGATTCTCAGAGGATAGCCTCTTAGAGGAAGTGAAATATTTCCCGAGAGAGCTTTTGGTGGGGAACTGCTAGGTTCACACAGGACGAATCTCAACGGCCAGAGGCTCTTGAGGGTATAAGAGTTACCCCCCTCCCCACCCCCGCCACACACACACACTCACCCTCGCCCCTCCTGAAAACTCTGTGAAAAAGGGTAAGTACTAAGGTGTGGAATGAGGTCAGTGTCCTTGGAAAGAAAATTAGTCTATTTGTCTGGCCTTTGGTTTGGTTGCCTGCTCCAGTTTGGAGCACTTTGTGTTGATCCTTTGCAAATATTTCTTAAGGTAAAATTCAGGCCCACGGAATGCACTCAATGTAATTCAGAATTTCCTGTGATTCATCAGATTGGTATTCTTTATGAAGCAAAATCCAATATACTATTTAGGGTTATTGGTATCCATCCATACATGAGCCTTTTTAGTAATAAAATGACATTCTATTTGTTTAGAATATCAGTGACTTTTATAAATAAGCCGTCTCGTATTTATCCTCTGAAGTATATGGGTTGTGGAGGTTTTCAAAAATATCCTAGCTTTTTATTTTCCACCGTGAGAAATTGAAGGCTTTATTTTATTATTCGTTTGTGGAAGTACATGGAAGTCAACTTTCAATAAGAAATATCCAAATATCCACATATATGCTAATTTTTTGGTATGTGAAGGGATTCTTATTTTAGCCTCTTTCAACAAAGATAAAAAAAGAAAAAAAATCCCAACTTTGTTATGGATTCCCTTTGAGATGTATGTTTCACTTTCTGGGAAACAGTGCTCTGTTGATGCACCTTTGAGAGTGAGTAAAAAGCTTACATTCCTTTGAGAGGTGCCTGTGAAATAAAGGATGCAAGTCACTGTTTAGGGGTGTTGAAAGGATGAAGAACTAATGTTTTTCTTTTATTCTGACTTTAGTTTTGAAACAGGCTCTTTATTTATTATGAATTTTAAGAACAATATCTACAGTAGCAGAGTCTGATTCTCTTGGGAAATCATCATCATAAAAATGCCTTTTATCTGTTTTTATTTGACTTGCGAATGTCAGGTCTTTTATCCTCATCCATGCTCCAGAACTAAAACCCATCATTTAAGCCTCCAAATACATTATCAAGCTCATTTTACCTACAATTAGTGTCTGTAGCTTGGTACCCTTGGTTTCCATAATTGCTTATTGCATTTTACAGGAATTCTCTATGATGAGTAAAGGCTACAGAAGGGGGGAATATTTGAAAAGCAAATTGTTTTTCCAAGTCATTAGTAATTTCAGGGCTGCTTTCCATTAGAGAGAAGATTATAGTAACCAAAAGAAAAGAAAACTGTATTCTATATTGTAATTAAAGTTTTTAGGAGATCTTTGGTATAGAGGCTGCTGTTTTGTAATAAAACATTGCTACGCAAAAAGAGGATGCTAAGAAAAACCAAACTCTAGACCTACTAATATAGTTAAGTGCTTGAATAAAATAGATGCAGCTTATTGTCATTTGAATGAACACCTAAATGTTTGAGTTTGAGAAAAGCCTCCTAGTTACTCTAGAACTTTTTATATGGCCCTGAAGACTAGGATTTAAAAGAATGAAGAATTCTAAAAATATGTGCAGAGACAATTCCATAGGAAACATGAGACATGTCAGAAAGAAAACAGAATCATTGTAGATTAGCTAGGGATTTTAATGGTAAATTTAAATATAAGTGATTATAAATATATATTATATATATTTCCTAAATATATCCAGGACTAAATTTGTTAGAAGGGGATAAATTCAGCTAAAAAATTCAGCTAAAAAAAAAAAAGGTTAGATAATTCACATGACAACATTTCCATCTCCTAACTCTATTCTCAACTAGTTAGAGATTAAGTTTGATGACAAATGGAAAGTGAAGAGCTGTACTGTCATTCTGGAATGTCAACCTACTGAAATGATAGCTCACTTAACTCTAGAGCTAAGAGAATGAAAGAGTATTTAGAATTTGTTTAGACTAATACATGACCAAAGAATTGAAAAATAAAAACTCAGAAGAAATGTTGATATATATGGATTTAATTGGCTCAAGAGAAGAAAGGATGGAAGATTTGAGAGAGTGGCATCAAGAGGGCTATGGGATTCTCATCAGAACTAAGAGCAGAACCCAAGTGTGGGATTCAGATGCAATTTTTATAATCGATGTTAAGGGATGAGCATCATTACTTGAAAAGATGGAGGCTCACTTTTGAGAACACTATTTTAATATATATGCAAAGCAATCCTGGTATAGTTCGTTATCTAGGAAATCATTCTGGAGTTGGAATTTGGATGCTCAGATGGCAGGGCTGGTGCAGGTCTAGGATGGCCACTTCAGACCTGAGGAGAAAGTTAGGGTTGTGGGAAAAGTGTTGACTATTTTTAGAACTGCCTTAAAACAAATTTTCCCACCTTGGGCACCTGGAATGCTGCCCCATATCTTCTGAAGATTTTTAAAGTTTCAAGAGTTTGTATCATTTAATGTCTACCAACTGCCATAATTCCTTAATATTAGGGCACATTAACTTTTCATTATGCAAACATTAAAATTTATGTAGTCCAGCCTCCCCTCGCACCAGGCTTTGGGGCTTGTAGTCCTGGGATGGGAAGTGCTTACTTCAAACTTTGATCCATGTCCTTGGGTCCTACCAGCACTGTGGGTGTGATACTCAAGGTCTTAACCCCATGTTCTCTTCATTTCTTCCTGCATAGGTCACCTGCAATGAATGCTTTGAGGTCTGCCCCAACCCACACCCCAGACCTTGCCAGGCAGCCCCACCCCTAACATCTTAAACATCCATTCTCCCAATCTTATTACAACTTCCCACACAAACGGCTGTCTCTTCTCTTAGCAAAAATAAATTTACTGAAGACTTTATATATTCCAGACTCATAAAGCTACCTACTTTATATGAGTTACTTTGTTTAATCTTCACAGCCATAGATATAGTACCATGCCCATTTAACAGAAGATGAAACAAAGGCAAAGAAAGATTGAATAAACTGATTAAAGTCTGACCTTACTAACTTTTGGGGCTAGAATGAGCCCAGCAGCCTGATCTCAGACCACGTGCTCCAATCCATCCTAGTATTCATTTCCACTATACTACTTCTGCAAAAATTTGGATACCTTTTTACCTGGCAGTGCTTCATTTTCTCCCAGACTATTTCTTCTTTTCTAACCTAACTGAGACTCCATGAGCCATAACTTCAGCTTCTCTTGACAATTCACTCAGTTACCTTGCCTTCTTGTCCTTTTGCCAGTG